TGGGCTGCTGTTTGGGTCGGACCTGAGGTCAAGTGGTCGGTTCGGGGCTGAAACTGCCGGTCACGGGCTGCTGGGCTGCTGTTCGGGTCGCGGGCTGCTGTTCGGGTCGCGTGAGGTGTGGTGGAGCTGCTGGTTCGGGTCTGAGCTAAGGAGGGTGCTGGGATGCTGGTGGCTCATCGGTTCTTGAGCTGCGGCTGTGTTTGGCTCGAGCTGCGGGCTGAGCGGGTCGCAGGCCTGAGGTGAGGATCTGGTCGCGAGCTTGCTGTCGCCGGAGATGGTGGTGACGGGATGAGCTCGGGGAAGATGACAACGACGGCGGAAAGCTTGACGCCGGAGCTGGTCGCCGGATAATTGGTCAAGCCATGGTGGATCTTGGGGATTAAATGCTAAATCTTGAAAAATGGTGTGGATTTTTGGACTAGATCTTTGAAAATGAAGGTGTTCTTTGCTTGGATCTAATATTGAATGTAGAAGACAATGAATAGTGCTCTTGGGGGGCTAGGGTTTTGTGTTGGATTGTTGGGGGACAAGGAGACATGATATTTATAGGAGGGTGGGGAGCTTAGGGTTTTGCTCTTATTGGGCTTAGTATCGGGCCTAATAGATTGGGCTCGATTTTTAAAGACTTGGGCTCGGATATAGGCTCGATTATTTAAAATACTACTTGGGCTTGAAAATAACTAAATATGCAATTTATATTAATAATTCTCTGCATAATTAAAATAATACTAATTTCGATAAATAAGTCGAGCTACTAATATAATTTTAGTCCGGGGTGTTACAATATTTGTGAGTTTCTCTACCCAGCATACATGTACATACTCTTCATGCTTTTGCATTCATTATGATATATTTTAAGGACTTAAGCTTGGGGATATATGTGTGTTATGCTTGGTACCAATTATATAGTATTGTATTAGTATTCATGTAGGTTGCATTTAGGTTTTATCATAAATTTTTAGTTTGGTTCTAGTAGAAGTAAAGCAGTCACTGCATGAGTGTTTGATGTCTAATAGTATTGAGTCTTATCTTTTATTTCTCTTGTGGTTATTATTGATTCGACTGGTGCCAATTCGTCGAACGTAATTTTTGATGTGTGCAAAAATAATTTTGGAGTCCTTGTTACTGCATGGTGAATAATTTTTCTTGATGATCACGTGATGGACGAATGCATGAAATTAACACTTATTACCTTTTGTTGGTGAGATTTGAGCCTATGAGCATACATTGAATACCATGCTCCGTTTTCTTGAATGCGTGATGTCTCGACTAGTTGGTTTTTCTAGAACTTGTTTTACTATGCATGTCTATGTTTACATCTTTGATGAAATTGGATGCATGAAATCAAAATAAGGATACTTAGGACTAACCTTTTATTTTTATCGCCTCTCTTTTGAAGCCTACCATTTTTCATGAATCAATAGTAAGCCACTTTTGAGCCTTAGACTTTTCTTTGATTTATAACCACATCATAAGCTATGAAGTCCTTTTCTTGATGTCATCTTTTGAACCTTGGATCGAATCAATTATATGAATTCCTTTTAGTTGAAGAAGACTAGAAGAGCTCATGGTATTATGTACTTTGATGTGATCGTGCATTGTGCGTAGTATTGCTATCCGATGTAGGTTTATCTTCTAATTCATATTTCGTGTAAAAAAAAAAAAGCTGAAAA